TCCACCAACATATAGATGGTATTTTTGCGAACCTAACAAAATTAGTGTCACTATTTTTGGACAACTACGCAATTTACTACGATTTATCAAAGTTCAATTCATAACTAAAATAAATAAACATGTCTATTCTCTGGAAAATTAAGAAACCGAAACCTGGCTTCGCGGCCCAACACGCGCTGGCTCGGCCCACTCCTCCTTCCCACCCGTGCGCGTCGGCAGACCACAGCGCGGCCCACGCAGAGGCGCGGCCCAGCTGGCCAACGGCCTGCGACGGGGGAAGGCCTACGCGCGATGACAATTTCACGGAAACGCCCGCGAACTACTTGACATTTACCGCGAGCCTTAAGACACTATTTACCCTGTCTAGGCTTTTATAGATACGCCCTCCGAACTACTTGTCCTTCCTGCTGATGATACCCCTACGGCCACCTGCACGCACCGGCGCGGCGGGGCTGGCACCAGTGACCCACGCCGGCCACCACAGGCTATCCCCGCCCCAATAACCGAGTCGACACTTACCTAGGAACGAACGCGAAGCGATTGGTGGAGGAAACATGAACTGGAATGTAGCGGGGAGGTCGGACCACGACGGCGGTTAACCTGTAGTCACGGCGGTGCCGTTTCGGTGAACGTCAGCAAGGCTGGGGCAAACCAAGTAGCAATTGAGCACCAGTGACTCACCATGGAACCGAACGACGCGGTGACTCGACTGGAGATGGCTCGAACCGCGCTGGCCACACACGCGCGATGTGGAGTGGTGGCGCACAGCGATGGCACGGCTGTGCCAGGCGCTGCTCTACGGCGGTAGGGATTAGGCTGTGCCGAGCATGGTGACTCTCGACTAGAGGAGAGGCTAGTAGCGCGGGGGATTGGACCGAGATGTCTTGGTTGCTTGGTTAGCCGATGGCACAGGACACCACGGTCTTATGGACCTGGCAAGCGGTCATTCAAAATTGGAGCATAGGACTGAGCTATAGGCGGCGATGTGGGGTCGGTAGAGCTACAGGCTACCTTGCGGAGTCGAACATGTGGTCAATTTGAATCAAGACACCGCTACCTCGTTGAATTTGAAAGAAGCGTCACGGCGGCCATGAAGACAGTGGAGGCAGGGGGGTACTGACGTGGCTTGGCTTGGTCCGGCTGCGGTTGTCAACGCAACAAACAATGCGGGCCACGACGAGGGACAGCGGGATGTGCCCCGAACGACTGTCCACACGGCCACGACTACAAGCTGACGAGACTCGACACGGCGACGCAGTGGGCAGCGCTAGACAAAAGACGCAGTGCGATGAGATGCGGAGGGGATGGCGAAGCAGGCGGACGTCCTGCGCGCGAGCAGCCAAGGGAAGTCAGCGGATCAGTGCCGTGTGTGACCGCTGGCGACGTGAACGCGGGACTCGGTGCGCCAACGGCCAAAACGGGGCAGGACAAGGCTCGACAGAGCTTGGTCGGTGGCTCGGACGCAACGCGTCAGCCGGGGTGCTGTGGTCCGTGCGTCCACGAGTGGCAGCAGACGAACCAGGCAGCCTCGCCAAGACCCTACACACGAGTGCCCTCACGGTGGGGGTGTGCGGATGTGGCCAGCGCATCGGTGCGCGCCTGGATGAGCCAGCAACGACGGCAGGCGAGCAGCGATGGTGGCAGGCGAGCAGCAGCAGTGGCAGGCGAGCTTGGCCTGCATCGCTAGGACCGTGCATGTGCACAGGCGTGGCGGTGGTACGCAACCAGCATGGCAGCGGGACGCGACTGGCGCGACAGTGCACGCTAGTAGGCCAGCAGCGGTGGTGACCGCGCCCAGGGCAATGCCATGTGCTGTGCACGCTTTTTAAAGCAGTTAGAAAACTTGTACACGATGCTCCAAAAGCCAAACCAACTATTCAATGCACAAGAGGGTACGTTGGGCTGTCGATCGGAGTCAAGATATCGTACCACTTCCTAAGCCGATCTCTCTACAATTATTGCCAGAGGTGGCTTCGTCGACCTTCTTTCAAACCTACGCGGAACGACGTCGATTCGAACGATTTCACGTTGACTCCCAAATCCGACCTATGGGATGTACTAGCTAGCTACCCTTGTCCTCGACCGCCCATGTTTTATCACGTTCGCAAGACCTTTTTATAACATTTATGTTTTGACCAGAACTCGATCCGAACACTAAACAAAGTTACGTGACACGAAACATAACATTCGCTTTCATGTTTCGTATAAATGTTTCCGGTAACGTATATTGATTTATACTCCAATTTACACACATATGCACAAATACATGATGCTCAAGCGATGTTTAAGCAAAACATTACAATGTAACACCGGGGTGTTACAAGTGATGAGTTCCATGTTGTTGCAACTTGAGAAAATCTATACGGACAAAAATAGTGCAGATATAATGACCAAAGTGATAAAAAGAGAAGTGCAAGTGTGCAATGAGGTAGCGGGCATGATGGTGCCCCGTCATGAGTTGGAGGGGGAGATATGTTGGGAATCCTCCTCATAAGTGGATATTGAGTAGAGTAAATGCTCCTAGTGAGCAGGCCCACATGTCATATATGTGTAGCACAAGGGTGTGGACCAACCTTGTGTGCACCTTCTATTTTTTTTGCCCTTGCCTTACAAGTGAAGGAAGGGAGAAGTCTCTGGACATCACGAGAGAGCATAGCTCCAATTCAGCCCCTACTCTCCTTGTGCGTGAGAGAGGGAAGAAAACTGGAGAAGAAAAAGAGAGGGAGAAGAGTGAGATTAGAGAGAAATCTTGCAATAGATCAAGAAGGATTTGTCCTCAAGGTTGTGAAGCATCAGATTCACATCCTTGGTGTCTCTAATCTGAGTTCCACCATCATTTGGTGAGGTCTTTGCACTCCCTAAGTAGCAGCCTCAAATCTTATTGTTGCTATCCAAGATCTGTAGAATTCTGATGTATGGTTGTCTCTAGTGCTATCTATAGATGAATTTGTTGTAATCCCACGAGCATATAGTGGAAGAAGATTTGGTTGTCTTGGTTTCGTGTTTTTTACCCCAATTCAGAGAGTTTCCATGTTAAATCTGGTGTCTTATTGTTGATGTGAAGTTGGTTGTAACTAGTTGCAACTGCAGTTGGAAGTGACCTGCTGCAACTAGTTGCGCTTGATGTTGGTGTTGTTATGATTAGTTGCGATTAGCTGCAATTGGGTTGATGTGATAACAACTGATTGTGACCGGTTGTGACTGCTGTTATTTCCTTCGTTTATACGTGTGATGCATATATTTTCTTCCGTGAATAGGTGATGATGCTGGACTAATTTTATATTGGGCTGAAATTAAATGCTTCCGCTATCACTAACAAGCTATGTTAGTGTGGTTATCCCAACACTTACGAGTAGTGCTTATGGTGGAGGTGGACACCAGACGGATTTTTGAATACTATATGTACATCAACCCAGAGCAAAGTAGGTGTGACTCAGACATGTACACTTTGCCACTTGTTATTTTCACACTTTGCTCTGGGTTGATGTACAATTATTTTCACACTTTGCTCTGGGTTGATGTACACACATGACACAGACATTCACTATATTTTACCACTTGTTCAAATGAAATGTTTAATAGCCAACACAGAGCAAAGTAGGTGTGACTCACCCAGGCAGCAGATCATCATGATCTCGCACTGGCACGATGTAACCCACTAAAATGCCAAAACAGAGCAGATGAGATCCTTCTTTAATGAATCGAACTCCACTATACAATTATATATATTATGAGATTTTTCTTGTTAATCCGGCCGAGATAGCTTTCCTTAGCTTTCCTCAATAGCTTTCCTTAGCTTTAATGAATCGAACTCCACTATACAATGTGTGCATCTAATCGTGACCAGCTGCACACATTTTCTTTATGCAGATTATGGCCAGATTACTGATATGTCTCTGTATCAATCTTTACATTGTCTCATGAAAATATATACTCCATTGATCCTAAAAAGTATTTTCGATTTGACAAATTCTTAAAAAATATATAAACATATATCATATGAAATAATTAGTAAGTATCATTAATTAAATCCACACACGCTGCACGCACGAAGCTCGATCGAGTCGGTCACAGTTCACTCTTTGCACATCTTCAGGTACATATACATATCGTCGGCCGGCCGCTACTTAAGAGCGCTATAAGCATATCCCGCGCGATGCCACGAAAATTGCTGATGATTTAGAATAAAATTACTTAGATAAATGGATAAACAATTATAAGTTAAAGTTAGTGGATGACGTGACACGCTGATGTGGATAACTAAATGCATGTTAGTGGATGATATGTGTTGATGAGATGCAGATCATAATTACGAATGCTAGTTGGCTATAAATGCATCTGATAGTGGAATGCTAAGGTGGATAGCTTGCATGTCGAGATTAAACTGTAATGGGTCTAGGATTATAAGATATTAGAAGCATACCCTGCGCGTAACCGCGGGATTTTCTTAAAAATAAATTTAATATTCTATAAACTGTGTATACATATGAATTTGACTTGAATGTTATTTTATTGTATTAGATCTAATAAGAAATCGGTAAGCTAATAGAAGAAAAATCAATAGAATATTTTATTACATTATAGAGGAATATGTGACAAAACGAATAGCGTATGTAGATGATTTGTATGTTGATAGATTAAAGATTAAAAATATTGCACATGATAGAGATGACATGGACATTTTTGTTAATAAATAAGGGATGACATGGACATAGTGGAGAATGATGTTGACACATTTCATGAAGAGATAGAACATCCAGTAAGGTTACTTAGTGGAGAATTATGTGAACACCTTACCTGAAAAGAAAAATCATCTAGTATGGTTTAGCTTTATAAGAGTATATAGATATAGATATATATAGATATAGATATAGATTATATCAACTTACAGGCGGCATGCATCCAAAAGCACCAAAGGCTGCTCGACTCTCGATCGAGCTACATAAAACCGTCCATTCTCCGTTGGTAACAATTAATAAACTGAAGAAGATCAAACGGAGATGGGCGCAAAGACACCATACATGCTGGCTAGTATTGTAGTAGCAATCTACACCGGCATGTACGTGATCTCAAAGGCTGCCTTCAACCAGGGAATGAACAGCTTCGTCTTCGTCTTCTACCGCCAGGCTGCTGCATCGCTTCTCCTCCTGCCCGTCGCGCTTCTTCTAGAAAGGTATGTGTTGTGGAAACTAAAAATTCGCAAAGTCTCAAGCTTCTGACATAGTGTATATATATCTTATTAGTTCTTATTACCGAATTGGCTCCTCCCGATCCAGGAAAAATGTGCGATCCATGTCGTTTGGGTTGATCCTGAAGTTGTTTTTCCTTGCTCTAATCGGGTAAGTAAGCAAGTTGATTTACATCTTTGGTTCGTTATTTTCCGGATTCTATTGTTAAACAAGGAACGATTGATTTGCATGTATACTTGCCTTGAATACATCCGTATGTATGTACGGCTGTTTCTGTTTATAGAAAAGTGTCATGACATGGTCGTCATAGTAATATAATTTGTGCACTAGATGGTTTAAATTTCAAAATACAGATGTCCAGTTAGTGTAAAATTTCTTTCGCAAAGTTAAGTTATGAATTTGAGAATAATGTAAGGCATTTTTTACTAAAATTTAAACATGTGTATGAAAGATTTGTTCTTTGGTATTTGACTAAAGTGTCTTGAAGAATTGAACCACGGTGATTATTTTTTGTCACGGTGTTATCTACTGACGTGACAGACTGCTACTTTCACGTAACGGTTCAATCTTTTGCTCTTTTGCTTGTATTTCAAGTGATGGAGGTCTTTTAGTGGTGTTTCCCAATAACTATATATGTTCTTTGATCAGTGCTACATAGCTAATTTTCCCATAATATTTGACTAGGCGGCATGTATTTTATGCTTCTAGTGATACATGGGACAGGGCAGTTACATCCCTATTATGTATGTACATATATCGCTTTGTCATTTCCAGGAGCACGTTAGGCATGAATCTGTGCAATGCAAGTGTGACGCTCACGTCAGCAACCGTGGCATCGGCAACAGGAAACTCTACACCTGTTATCACCTTCTGCTTGGCACTGCTACTGAGGTAACACTACTCACTACTAAATAGTAATTCACTTGAGCATCAAGTGCACTTCAACCTGAGCTAGGTGTAGTAGCTGGAAACATTTTCGATGAACCACGTACGACATCTCTCCAGCCTTCAAAGCCTGATTCGACCATTATTTCTGTCTTAGGGGGTGTTTGGTTTCTACATGTCCTCCTAAAATTCCTGTCATATCGAATGTTTGGACATATGTATGAAGTATTAAATACAGACTAATTATGAAACTAATTACACAATTTACGACTAATTTACGAGACGAATCCTTTAAGCCTAATTAGCCAATGATTTGACAACGTGGTGCTATAGTAAACATGTACTAATGACAGATTAATTAGGCTTAAAAAAATCATCTCGCAAATTAGCCTCTATCTATGTAATTGGTTTTGTAATTAATCTATATTTAATGCTCTTTATTAATATCTAAATATTCGATGTGACATGAATTTTAGGAGCAACTAAAGAACCAAACACCTTAGTAGTGTTGATTTCTGACGACGTGGCAGGATGGAGGTGGTGAAGTTAAGGAGCATCTCTGGCATAACCAAGGTCACCGGCGTAGCCCTCTGCCTGGCTGGAGCATTGGTCATCGCCTTGTACACCGGGCCGTCAGTCAGCCCAGTCAACCATCACCGTGCCTTTGGCCGCGGCGCCCATGCTGCTGCCCATGGCTTGAAAGCTCCAAGTCGTGGAACATGGATAATAGGCACGTTCCTGATGCTTCTGTCCAACGTGACATGGTCCCTGTGGATGGTTCTGCAGGCCGGGCTGCTGAAGGAATACCCCAACAAGATCGTCATCACAACCTCCCAGTGTTTGTTCAACACGATGCAGTCGTTCGTTGTCGCAGCGGTGGCCGAGAGGGACTTCTCTAAATGGGCACTTAAGCTTGACGTCAGCTTGCTCGCCGTTGCTTACACTGTAACGATGACTTCATTTCGTTTTGTCAATTAAGTATATCCTACTGCCAGTTTAATTTCATGCCAAGAACATTAGCTAGTGTATGTATGATACTACAATTTGTTGCGTTTCTTGCTTTATCCACTGATCCATCTTATGGCTCTGACAGGGATTTCTGGTAACTGGAGTATCCTACTACCTGCAAGCTTGGTGCGTGGAGATAAAAGGACCTGTGTTCCTTGCTGTCTGGAACCCACTCTGCTTTGTCCTGACCATATTTTGTTCCTCCTTCTTCCTCGGCGAGATTGTTCACCTCGGCAGGTAAATATATAGTGGTATTTTGCAAGAGCAAGGGAGAGCTGGCTTCGATGATGAAGTTTACTGAACATTGAATCTTCTTTCGCTTCACTCATTGGCAGCATTGTGGGTGGAATCCTGTTGGTTTGTGGCCTCTATTGTGTGTTATGGGGTAAAACCATGGAGATTCAGATCGTGGAGTTTGGTGACAATACGAGCAGTGGTGCACAAGATGGACAAGAAGAGAAGAATCATCAACAGAAAGTGCTGGATAAGGGACAGCAAGAGGAAGCATCAATAGCAGCACCCGGTCTAGTGTGATCGATTGATTCAATGAAGCTAGCAATCTTTATGTCTGTGGTTCTTACAAATTGCCTGTGAGTCACAATAATTGTTTCAAGAACTTTATAGTTGTCACATGCCTTTAAAGGACAAAATAACTGAAATCTAGGTGACAGGGAATAGATGTTTTTTTTCCGACTGCTCTAGTACTCCTGCTCTACAAAACTGTAGTATCTTAAAGCAGCTTAATTAAGTATGAGTTTCATAATTATTATTCACTTGGATCCGGCATTGGACTAGCCCTTCCAAGCTCAAAATGTCCACAGCCCAAGTGGATCCCTAACCATCTCATTGCATTCTCCGGTGCTGGAAATGTAACACCCCAGTGTTAAGCATAACATTTGGCACTTGCATTTCATGAGCACAAGCATCATCCAAGCATTCATGAACATGAGCATATGAAATTTCATCTCATTCTTACACATTATCGCATGAAATGTTGATTATATATATATGCTTATGCTTGTAATCATGTATGACCAGGTATGAAATGGTTGTAAGGTCACAATAATACCTTAGATACATTTAGGATGGTAAATGGAACAACTTTTGTATTCATAACAAGAACCAATTTTGCTTTTAAGTGTTGGGTTACCTTAGAATGCCATTTTTATGATGCTAGTTTGATCAAAGTTGAACATAGCTTAGAGTGTTTGCATGGCTGTGTGACCTAAATAAAAGTTGTAGTTCACATCAAGGGTAACAAACTTTATTTAAGGGTCATGAGCTAAATCAGTGCCTAACATGGTCCAATAGAGCTCACAATTTTAAACTTAATGCTGTTTGTAACTTAGAAAATTTCTGTCTTAAAGCTGTTTTCAGTTTCAATGTAGCCTATTTTGGAGCCTTATAGTTTAAAAACTATTATGATTTAGATAAAACTCCTTTAAGCAATATTGTAGTACTCATATAGCTTTACACTTTGTATTAATGAAGTTTTCACTGATTCGCCATGGTTTGGGAGATTTGGAGGTTTGAAAATCGACTGTCAGATGGACTGAATCGGCCCTTGCCGATTCAAATCGCCGGCCGTCATGGCCGACCGCGCCCAGGCCACTCGTGCCGTGTGACGGCAGTCCGTCAACGCTGGCCCGCCCTGCTGCACCAAAAGGGAGAGCCCTCAGCTCTCCACTCACCCACGTGCTCACTATCGCTCTCGCTTTCTCTCTCGCCCGTGTGCCTCTCAAGAGCGGAGCAGCACCGCAGCAGCGTCGCCGCCGTGCCTTCGCCGTGCTCGAGCGCCACCACCGTAGCGCCACCACTCAATCACTCGCGCCCATAGCTCCACCATCACCTCCTCTACCTCACTGACCCGCCATTGCCTTAGCTCGAACCAAGGTAAAGGCCTATGGGCTATCGCTGTCACCGCCATAGCCGTTGTGCACCGCCGAGCTCCAAGCTCGCCCATGGCCAGCTGTATCCACCGTAGCTCCTACCTTCTTCTCCGTTGGTACGTCGTTGCCTTAGGTCGTAGGTGCTCGTGCCATAGCCTAGTTCACCATTACCACCGCCGTCTCGCGGGAACGTGTGACTGCACCGCGCGTACCTGCCATGGCCGCGAGCTCCAGCTCGTTGCGGCCGACCTTAGCTAGACCGTGTCATTCGCCTCTAGCACGTGTTTCCACACCTCCACTAACCCTAGCACCATCACCGAAGATGGAGATTCATCACCCATCACCGGCTCGCCATAATGGCAACACCACCACCGTGCTCTGTGCGCCGCTGCGCCACCATGCACGCGGCCAAGCTTCACCGCCGCTCCACCCTGATGTTGTAGCCACGCTCGCCTGGACATGCCGTCATCGGAGACGACGAGTCTGCCACCGCCGAGCCGCCATGCTCGCCGGTGAGGTCGCTCCGGTGATCCGCCGAGCCAGCCAAGGGTACCAACGGGTGCGCAAGGGTGTGGGGAGCACAACGCCGGTGACGCTACCGTCGGTGAGTTCGCCGCCGGTCAACCGCGCGCTCTGCTCTGGTTCCACTAACGAGTGGGGTCGAGTTGACTACGGGACCTGCATGTCAGCGCCTGAGGGTGTATAGACCGGGTGTACCTAGCATTTGGGGTTTAGTTGGTTTTTGAATTATTTTCACGATTTGAATATAAACTTCAATAATTCGTATCTAGATCTAGGAGTATCCAAATGGGGTGAACCAAATTGTTTTGGATTTATCTTGAAGTGTACTATTTGATAAAAATATGAAATCTACTGTTTAGGGTATTTTTTTAGGTGAATTAAATTGAGCAAGATAAGTGCTTTTAAATTAGGTTATATCTTGTAAAATGCATAGCTTGAGCTAGGAAGATGATAAAATTGCTGATCTTGTGTTGACATGCTCTAGCTAGGAAAAATACTAAACCTACAGTAGGCATACTTGAAATATGGTCTTCATATTTAATCCTAATTAATTGCTAGTTTCTAGTGAAATTAAATGGGGTAAAAATACATAACCTATGATCATGCAAATTTTTATATAGTATTCTTGTGCTAGGAGGAAAGTAAGAAAAATATTAAATCTATTGCTTGACACTTTTCACTATGCTAAACTATTTTTTTTTTCTAAACGAAGCATATGTAGCTTGTCATTTTCGTAGAGGTGGCTATACTTATCCAAATGGCACGAAAATAGTGCAGTAGACTATTAGGGTCATATTTAGGCTACTGTAATTTTTCTCAGAATTTATTGAGCACTAGAAGTATTTATCCTTTAAACCACCTTATTCTATAAGAAAATTGATAAATGAATATAAATAAATTAGTTAGGCATAACCATGATGTTTTCTAAGATGCTTATGATGCATATGATCTGTTGGTGCTATTAGTTAGGCTTAGAAGTAATTGGTTATAGGTAGCTAGTTAATTATTGCTTTATAATTCAACTAGATGGCTGCATATATAGCTTTTGTTGTGGTGGTAAATTCTTGATAATAATGATCTTTTCTGTGAAAGTTGTTAATAACAAAGTTGTAGATAACTTACTTATATACCTTGTGTTAAATTTTCATAGTCATAGGCCTTATGGTTTGCGAATTATATCTGTTAGAAGTCTACTATCAGAAATACTTATTCTCTAGACAGATCTGAAAGATGGAATTATTTGGCCTAGATAACTACTGAATTACCTTAGGATGATTAAAAGAAAGTTGTAGGAAATTTAATAAAATTTCCACAAAGTCTACAACCATATTATTTAGATGTGTATAACTGTAGTTATGGTTAAAAGAAGTGGCTGCTGTCTTGTAGTCCAGAAAATTGGTTAGATGAGAAGTTGTTTAATTATTAGAAAAGAGATATACACCTACTCAGTAAAAGAAAATTTATCTTGTTATCACCTTAATGCAATGCTGTTGAGAACACTTATGAGGATGCATTTCATCACACCATATCATATCATGCATGTCAGTATATATGCATTCGTGATATCTCATTTCAGGCTCATGCATATAGGATCGTCCGAGGGGATCACTCTATTGGAATTCAGCAAAGAAGAAGAGGAACATTAGGAGGCACCTCAGACCATAGCTCTAGAAGGCGAGGAGCAAGCCCTTGAGGACCTACCCGAGTGCCTAGATTATCAGCCAACTTCTTTTCTCAAAGGCAAGCCCGGAGCATTTTAAGCCTCCCATGTTTTACAAAATATCACTTGAGTCCTTTACGTTTGATGCATTAGGTTATAAGAGTTGAATTGGAAACACTTGATGCATAGAACTACCTTGTCTAGATAAATATACCTTTAACCCTATGTAGGTCTAGGATCGAATATATGCTTAGCCATGCTTAGACCGGTAGAAGTCGGGTGATTTCATATCACCTGCGAGATATAGGTGGATACCGGAGCACGGTTGTCTATATTTGCTATCGTGCAAAAGAACCATAGGGTAATGTAACTAGAGGTCGGATGGGTTCTATGCGTAGGTTGGCTCATATGATTCTGTCTGTGCCGATTAAGGGCTGTACCATTGTTGGAACTTCTGTTGAGATTGAACGCATGCCTCTCACTTACCTGGCCAGATAACTCGTTCCAACCACGAAGTCAAGTAGCTCAATTCAGGCTAGGCCCCATTCTATTAGAGTGCACACTCTGGATGGTAGTAAGGATGTGCGGGGAGCCAGATGTGAGCCTAAGGGTAGGGTAGTCCTGATCGTCCTGGCAGTTGGTTGTCCCTAGTTGTGCGGCCTGATCCAACCCGCGAAATGTGTACCTGAGTTGTACCAAAGGTGACCTAAGGTGACCGTTGATCTGGTCTGCCTGGGTTTGTGTTAGGAATAAATTCTTAGCTGGTTGATATTGATTCGAATCATTGTCTCTCCCAGACAGTGAGAAACTTGGCTAGCTCCAACATCGTAGTAACTGGATTATGGAATGATGGTTATGGTGAACTTGGAACTTTTACACTGGCTATGGTTACTACTATATGCTTCTAAATGATATACCACATGTTTGGCATATGTTAGTTGCTAATCTAGAGATGAATAGCTATAATTAATTTGATGACCGAATTATATATATATAACTGAATTAGTAGCTTTTCATGCAAAATGTTGTCAAGCTAGCTCTGCTTATAAAGCCTTGCATGATCCTTGGAGTCACTTTCTTTTTGGTTCATGACGGGTAAGTCTAGCTGAGTACCTTCTCGTACTTAGGGTTTATTTCTCACTTGTTGCAGATGGTACAGTCTATCATGGCTACTGTAAGAACTACTTCTGTCCCGCTGTGGACGAGGAGTGGGGCCCTAGGCAAGGTGTCTCTCGTTAATTCCCTCTATCATACTTTTGTGGTTGTGATCATTGACTGGCACTGTATTGGAACAATGATGTGAGGTGTTCATTTTCAAACTTAATTGCTTTCGCGACTATTTTATTTGAACATGGTTTGTAATAACTCTTAATCATACTCTGATGTATGACGTTGTATTTGTGAACTGATGTAACATGTGACATGTCTATTGAATCATGTATGATCTTGGTTGTATGTTGATG